AACCATTCTGGGATTCTATGATTCTAAACTGATGGGGAAAAAAAAACCCCAAGAAATTAGTTTATATTCTCTGGCAACAGATGTCCCTCTAGTGAGTGAGCAGAGAGCCCTGGGCATGCAGCATGATCAGTGCTTTGAACTGCTGAACTTCCCAGTGCAGAAGGAAACTGCAGAGCTGCAGCTGAACATGACATGCAGCTGGGGGACTTTGGTCTCTGGATATGCCACTATTCATTCCCCTTCCTCAGCACTGTGCTTGAACTTCATACTGCATTTGAAGAAGCCCAAGGCACTATGAAACAGCACATTAAGCACAAGGAGAGCCCCTGCAGCCTTAGGAAAGCCAGTCTCTGCCAGCAGTTTAAATAAGAAACATTTTACTGCCTCCTTCGGGCATTTAAATACTAGCACAGTGCCAGCCATGTTAAGACTCTAGACATACAGAATCAGACTATTTTAGCAATGGCTTAGGAGTCTTCTGAAAAAAATACAGAATATAAACAGGTGTCAGATTTTTTAAAAGTGAGAAACCCTTTGGTTTCATTAAAATATTTTTCTCATGTTCTGTCACCACTTAGGGGTGGGCTTTGTTGGGAGGATTGGAGTAGGGCTGGAAGGTAAATCAAGGGAGAGATTCAAAGGCATGCAGGAATACACAGTGATGTCCTATCCATGCCACTGAATTCAAAATAAATTACCTGCAAACTGAAAAACAGTACTTGTATTAAAAAAAGTTAGGAGTGTTTAGATTCTGCCTCGGGAGGAGAGACAGACAGAGAAAGCGAAGAAGAGTAGATTCGTATTATTAGTTTCTGGTGAGTTTACTCATTCCAATTTCAAGATACTCTAAAATGAAGCACAGATAAATGGATTACTCACACCAGCACCACTTAGCATATAAATATTAGTGAAGTAGTATTACCAGTTTGTGGTGGCCTCTGTTGGGCTACACAAGATACTACACTTGAAAACAACTTTCTTCTCATGATTACAGTTTGCATAACTGACCAAGACCTAGGGCCCCAGATTTGCACTGTGCTTAGTTTTTGATGAGCTGGGTAGTTTCTTTTGCTTTTCAGTGATAAGGACAGTAAATCCTTTTTTTGCTTGGAATATCTACAGAAGATAGTTGCTTAAAAAGCAAAGCACCTTCTATTCTAATGCTGTTTTTTCTTAAGAAAAATAAAGTCAGAAAAATAACTGTAAAAACCAGATGGGGATTTGTACTTTAACATTTCAACATACTTCCATGACAATTCCTGGTTCGCTGCAGTTTGCTGCCTTGCTACTAGAATTTCTAATGTATGTGCCACAGAACAGCTTGTCCATTCTAAACAGACATTTCATGAGTTTTTATCCATACAAAAACATCCTGTATTGGACTCAAAAATTAACTTTTTTTCATAGAAGGACCTTCAGAATGTCCTCTTGTCAGGTCCTACCTGTAAACTCTTCATGGAAGAGTAGCTTCCCATGATTTTTCTTTATTTTAAGATCAAGATCCTCATTCCAGTCCTAAAATACCTCTACACATACCTCCCCAACACCCAGTCATCCTCCTCACAGACCACTTGAGCCAGATACGGCTTCCACGTATCTAATCACTCTCACTGCATTTCTCTTCTATGAATTTGTCCAATACCTCCATGAGCCCTTCCTTCATTTGTAACTTCCTTTGGCAAGGAGCTCCTTAGCTCACCTACATGTTGTCTGAAGAACCACCTCCTCCTGCTTATTTGGAGCTTTGCTTTCCAGTACCTTCACTTGACACTCCCTAGTTCACATATTGGAAGAGACAGGGATGGAGGCTTATTGACATACAATGTATCAGTTTTAATTAATTCTTTAGAAATAAAATAATTAAATTCATACAAGCTCCTACACAGACAGAGGAATGCCAGTATCAAGGTGTTGCTTGTCTTCATAGGACAGAATCCTACCTTAAATTCACAAGTAATACTTCTCAAAATAAAAGCTTCTTACTTGTCAATGCCTTGTCCAGAGGAAGGCTTCTCTCTACCATTTCCCTGTTCAGCCTTGAAATCAAAGAGTGTAACTTTGTCCATTTCAACATCATAGAAACAGATCTTGGAATCAATGTTCCCGTCCACCTACAAGAAGGGAAAACAAAAGTTGCTGAAGCATGCAGTCAAAAAGTTAAAAAAAAAAAGTTCAGATGGTAAATTTATCTCATCTGATTCACACCCTCAGTTTTGGTTACTGGTAATCACACAGGAACATTCTTCAGAAGAAATACCAGCAAATTTCTTGATGTTTTTCTATTCTAACAAGTTAGGCTTTGATTTATTTGAAACACTATAAAGTAGCTCTTGTAACTGAAATGTTGCTTCCTTTTCTGGGTTGTTCTTCACACCACATGTACACAAAATGCCTCAGTGTTTAATCACATGACATTTCAAGACCCCATACACTGCATAGAACATGTAGGTTTATTTCCGAGAAGTGAATGTTGTGTCTTCAGTAATATTCTTGAACTGCACCAGTCTATGAACTGATGGTCAGATCCTAGGCGGTCAGTGAAGAGCTCTGCCTCACCTTGCTAACAAGGATGCTGACTTGATTGCCGTTAGCATTGCACTTGACAGATGCAATGCCTCCGAGGCCAGGAAACAGCTCAGAGAAATTCTTACTATTGCAGTGCACTTTTGCCTCTCTGTGGAAAGGAATAAACTTAAATCATACAGTGGCAAGCAACTGGCAACACGCATCAGCAAAAACAGTTTTCAAATTATGCTTAAGACTTTTACAAACAATCTATTTCTACCTTATGACACCACTGCCCCAGACTCCAGCTTCCTCTCCAGAGAATTGCTGTGATCTGCCTTTCTTTCAGGAAGAAGTTCATGAGACTCTTTCCTCAGTGAATCAGCAAGAATAAACTACAGTGCTCCTCCAGGATTCCCAAAACAGGGCTATGCAGCAAGAACATCCTATCAGAATTTTGAATTTAGAGGTCTGTTTTTCCTACATAAGTAAGGTGAACAGTATCATGAACGCTGAATACAGCCCGTCACGCAACAGTTCTGTGCATGGAAAACACACTGTGGAGCAGAAGTAAAGAAATGGCAAGGGGGGTGGTATTTATATAATCTTACTGGTCACTTTCCCTCTGTACATAAGTTCCAAAAGACACTATTATTCACATACTTACCGCTCACCCTCCCCACCTGCACCCCTGCTTTTTTATTATCTTGAATCTTACTGCCAGTACAGATACAAACCCAGTAATCACTCAGCAACGAAGAGGACAAATCTCACAAATCGAAAGAATATGACAGAAAGAAGCGACAGCAATTTACACCCATAATATGATCCCATGAAAAAAATCTGTGATGCTGTAAAAATAACATTCTTAGGTTACATGTTTAGACCTCTATTCTAAGTCAACTATGCTTGCTTTGAAATTAAAGAGCACTACACTGTCATTATTTGAGAATGGGCATTTTCATTGCTAGCCACAAAAACTGAACATAGCATGCAGGAGTTAAACTACATTTTCTCCACTATCAAACACCATAATCCCATATTTGTGCTAGTTACAACCCACCCAAATCCAGTAACCTCCAAATTGTGTCCCATGCAGAATTTGTGCCATCTCAACCCAGGTAACGAGTTTCCAGGTAGTAAAGAACTAGCCTTTAGCATTACCCTGGTGACAGTACAGAAGGAAGAACACAATCCAGTTCACTCGAGGTTTTTCAGGTTTTCAGAATGACATTTGTCACTAGTAGATAATTTTTCAAACTGAATGTCATGTCAGGCAGGTATCTTTTTCATGCTATAGCTGTTCGTCAGCATGGGAACACACAGTAAAGTTTGAACAAAGTCAAGTAAACTTCTCTCATAATCGAAAAAGGAGGAAGAATAGAGTGTCCACAATTCTCGGTTCACTTCCTCCATGGATTCACTGAATCAAGTTTGTTGATTTACAAGGAAATGAGACCTAGCAATTTTTTTTTCTTTATTTCAACTCTTCTGAGATTAAGGTCTTGAGTTCAATTTATCAGCAGAAACACATGACATCCTTGTCTTGGTCTTCCATAAATTCTCCACCCACTTGCAAATGCTCACAAATATCCCTCACAATATCCTCTTCTAAAAATTATTATTGTTACTCATCCCATGATTTGTGTAACAATTCTGTGGCTCTTCCCTTGCTTTGGGGATAGGCCATCAGTTCACACAGGCTGCATGAGTTGTCTCAAGATTCAAAGCAGCTATCACTTTTCATCAGATCAAAACCAACTACAGATTCCCCTCTCCCCACAAAATATAAGCTCAATTATAAACAGATGGTTTTAGAAGGCTTATTAATACCTGCGAAAGAGATCAAAGATTTTGAAGTGAGCCAAATCAGTTCCCACAGCCAGGAAATTTCCACAGACATCCAAGAGACATGGATTCCCCTCTGCTTCAGAGAACACCAGTAGCTGTTTAACTGTGCCCTGAGAAGAAATGTTTAACATCAGGTTTGTGTGTTCAGAGTCCAGATAGAAAGGATTTATTTTGTCACCAAGTAAAGTAAAGTAACTAATTGCTGAACTTCTGTGTTAGACAAATCACTACCAGCAAAATGAGAGAAACTACACACACATGCAGTCTCTACAAATGCAATTTGTGTTTCAGGTTGGAAACTGAATGTATAGCCTCCAAAAACCTCAAAATTTAGAGGTATCCTTCTGCAACAACTTCCTGTTCAATAACACAGCTTTTTCCAACTAAGAGAGATACAGAAATACAGGTCCCTGAAGGTCCTCTAATATACAGCTGCAGAAATAAATATATTAACTAAATCAGTCCTAATTGTGATAAATCCCACTCATTCTTGATTGCAAAATTTATTTCTTAAATAAAATTATGTATCATAGAACTCTGATAATTGGATTTCTCTTTTTGGTTCTTACAGACTAGCAGAGGCTGCAAAGGTTAAGCAAAAGATTTCGCAGAAACACACAGAATGTGCAGGGGGTATTTTTCATTACCCCTCCAAGCATATTCACTATGTTAATTTTCCTGTCAGTGATTTACACATACATATTCCACCTGCATGCAATTTTGATCCTCTTAAAGTCTGGGCTTTACAGAGTTCTGTTTTCTTTTATAAATACTTATTAATTACAGTGCAGTAGTGTTTAAAATGACAAACTTTTTAAAGAACACAAAATGTCAAAGATCTTTCTCCTGAAATACTCAAAATATGTTTTCTATGACAGAGTTAATAGATATAAAGAACATCCATTTAACTTTCAAGCTATAACACAATCTTTTAAAACAATAAGACACATTCATCACTTCATGGTTTCATCAGCCCTTACCTGCCAAGTGCGGACCTGGACCTGATACGGCTCAACTGTGTACAGGTTTTCTCCATGCATGGACAGAACTGGAGAGTCACAAAGAAAAGAGCCTGGAACAATCACAATAAAGCCATCATTACAACAAATAGATTTTTTTAAAGGAAAAGAAAAAAAAAAGGAATTTTGGCTTTAAGCATTCGATTTCCACTGCCTTGCACCAAATCAATTTTTTAATCTGTCAGTCTCTACTGATTCACAAAGTCCTTGGTGTTGCAGCCTTCTTCTTCCATTCTGACACTACAACCAAAAGCTGAGACTCCTACTGAAAACAGGTGATTTGTACACTCTGCCCAGTAAAACAAGTGGGAGAGGAAGGGAAAAGAGTTGATATGGGGAGTGAAAGAAAGAAAAAAACTAGTGCAATATAAGGTTCTGGTAGGGAAATTTATTCCCTCCTTCACTGAACTACAAATGAAGAGTGATAAAGGAATCTGTCAAAAAAGAAGAGTGGCTCTTAAATAATTTCATGAGCTTTGTAGACTGTTAGGACCTTGGTGGTAATGCATTGATTCATCATGGGAAAGTTCTAAAATAAATTAGTAAATATAGACAAGATAAGCCCCTGCTCAGAAAACACTTGAGAGTTCTTAAAAAGCAATGCCTAAACTCTCAAGATTTTGGATGCGATTGATGGAATTCTGCATAACCTGTTTCTCAAGGCTGAAATATTTAGGGAAACCTAATCAGAAAAAAACTAATTTACTTGACTTAGCTATACAGCAATTTATGGAACAGATTTTCCTGGCACTAGGTCTAAAACCCACTCCTTTCCAGTTCCTATGTAAGTGCTATGTAACCTTGATTACACTTTCTCCCAAGCAAAGTAGAAAAGCCTTCAACAGCCATCACCATGACCCATCTGTAGAAGGCAACAGGAGCTATGGCTACAAAAGTAAGAAAAAAATTCTGTTCTTGATCATCTGTTGGAATTATTTACTTAAAAGATACAAAGAAGCAGCCTTATCCTCATATCATGTTCTGTGCAAGGCCCTGTATGATATGCTAGCTCTGAGGACACCTTTCAAGTCAAGGCACAACAGGCAGCTACACATCTAATCTGTGGGAAACAGCAACAAGATGCTTGGTTTTGTCAAGGCCAGTCACACCCTTGGATGCTTTAGGAACTCTACGAGTGAAGCCCATGTAGTCTTTAGGTACTTCCAGGATTAGGCTGTAGCTGAACAGAGGTTAAGAGGATATATATTTTAATTTTGTGCCTATAGATGCACATCACCTTCAGTTTTACTTCTGTTGCTGCACTGCTACTCATATACAGGAATATCCCAGCATACTTAGTGAATAAAGGACAGATGTAGGAGTGGGCATTTGAGTTCTGGTTTTGCCAATGATTTTTATACCCTAATCTTCCTGTTCTGGAAAATGGAAATATGAAGTCTAATTAGTGTTAATAATATTTTTCACTTTGCACTTATGATTACAGCCCATCAGCTTTCATGAGTTAAGAGAACATATAACTTTGGAGGAAGAGAACCATTGCAACTCTGACCTGCACTTCTGAAGGTATCTCCTGAGTACTCTAACACAGACACTTGCTTCCCATTCCAGAATACTACGGCATCCTAAACCAATCAAAAAGACAAAAGAACATATACATTCAGTTTCTTTTGGAATCATACAGGAATTCATGCAATAACACAACAAGACCTTCCACACAACAGCCATCATTCACTAGTTCCTCTGTATATTGAGTTGGACGGCTTTTGGTAACCCCGAAGTTCTATGGTCAGCACCCAGAATACCGAGTCACTATCTGAAAATCAGCTCCACCACAGCATCATTGATACAGTCATACTATACTCCCATTGCACAATGAATTTAATATCAAAGAAGGGGTTTATTAAAGGCTTAGAAAGTTTGGTCTCCATACACCTAACTAAGCAAGCAATCCAGAGAATAAATGAAAAAAAAAAACCAATTAACCTTAGTAGCGAAGACTCCATTAACATTCATATCAACACAAAGACTGTGTGTGGTTCCTGTGCTGAAGATGGTCACATCAAACAGGGTGGGAGACACCTGTACAACGGCCACTTGCTGATTAAAATGAGACGCCATTGCCTGCTCCCTGAGGATCACCACAGAGCTGACCATGTTCACTGCCAGCAGGTTTTTTCGGGAGCCCCACTGCACAGAATGGGAAAAGGAAAAAAAAAACCACAAAACTAGTCAAAAACTAGGAATTATTACAGACCAAAACTATTAGCCAATGTAGTTCAAATTCCCTACCAAAGCTCAAAATGACCCAGCAATGCACCCTCACAGCCCAGAAAGCCAACCACGTCCTGGGCTGCATCAAAAGGAGCATGTCAAGGGAGGAGATTCTCCCCCTCTGCTCCGCTCTGGTGAGACCCCGCCCCCTGCAGTGCTGCCCCCAGCTCTGGGGTCCTCAGCACAGGACAGACACGGAGCTGCTGGAGCGGGGCCAGAGGAGCCACGGA